TCCTCTCGTTGTTGTTTGTGAGAGAGATAATGCTATCATCAGTGATTTCATAAAACATGGACGCTCGTGATAAGGAACTTTTTGTCAGGCTGTTCACGTGCGTCCAGTGATTAGTACGTGTGTTTTACTCCATTTCCATTTTAGTCCGTGGCCGTGGTTACAGCCGCTGACACCTCCATTTCATCTGGCATCCAAAACATACGGCCGCACAAATGTTTACGTCATCGCTTGACTCCTGGATGACATTTACGGCACGTAAATGATACGTTGATACATATCAACAACCGATTTCAAGTCCGTTTGTATTGTACCAGCAGTGATATTGGACAAACTAATACGCGTTTGGCTATAAGGTTATGTACTTATTAACTACACAAAGGTGCAGTTACTCTAGCATTCGTCAACATTGCATAAGCAATGGGCTTATTATGCCTTTTAATAAGCATCATGTTGATTGCTGTGTTGTGTATACCATAAATTATACTGACAGTGACCGGTTGACAGTTCTGTGACTGGTGTGGCATTAATTTTTGATCATTTGGTAGGACGCTTGTCGGTATAGGAAGTACAAAATATCGAAACAAATCTTGTGTTGAAGAGATAGTAACCCATTCCTGTAAAAATAGCTGTTTGTGTTTACCCTTTATCTTTTTTCAGTAAAACATTGAACTCTTCGATGGATTTCACACCAAACAACTGCCATGTTGAAAGACTAACAGCGCGTCTGGCGGAGCGTGTATTCGCGTAAGGTGTCCGAGAGGTGGCGCCAATGATCGTAAACTCGAATTATAATAATTATGTGCAAGTTCGTGTGATTGTTTGCTGGTCTTTTCGACGTTACTTTTGGCGTTTTGGAATTATTTCCGGATTAGTTTTCATTGGATTTTTGGTATTAAGGCAGACCTTAATTTGTGCGTGGTATTCACTTGAAATTTGTTTGGTCTCTCTTACGGCAAGTGTTCAGCTTCCGCTAGCCTACACTACACTAGCTCTAAGTAAGGGAAACACTTGTGGGTAATGCTATCCCCCGGGCGTGGAGGGAGGTGACCGCAACGTGGCAGCACTAGTTTAGGATAGTGTTAGGATGTAGGGTTAGATTAAGGGTTAGGGTTAGGGAAATAGTATAATAATATAATAAATAATATATAATATAATAATTAATAATATGATAATATAGGGAAATTAAGTAAAAATAGGGACTAGTCCATCTACGCCCGGGGGAAAGTGAACACCATCTAGTAACGCTCATACTCATAGGGTCGGTAAACATCGATTTAGCGTCGTAAATTAACTGGAAAGTGGCTGGCTGGGGGAGAAGGAGGAAGGGGCAGAAAGGAGAACTGTGGAGAAGGAGGATGCGGAGAGAAGCTGTGGAGAAGAGGAGGGAGAGAAGCTGGTGGAGAAAGGAGGAGGGAGAGAAGCTGGTGGAGAAGGAGGAAGCGGAGAAGGGGGTGGAGGAGGCGTGAGAAGCTGGTGGAGGAGGGGGAGAAGGGAGCTGGTGGAGGAGGAGGGGAGAAGCTGGTGGAGGAGGATGGGGAGAAGGGAAGAAGGTGGTGGAGAAGGGAGAGCGGGTGATGAGTGCTGATCGATGATGTTCCACTGATACGCCCGGAACGCTGATAGACCGCGTCGCCGATCTCGCGGTGTGCATAAATTGCAAGTTAATTTACGACGCTCAACTTGATGTTTACCCATAGCGGTCTATGTCCCCCAGCTTGCCCCAGGGTACTGCCGCGAACGTACCCTGGGTAACGGTCTGGTATACCGGAACGTACCCTGGTAACTATTTGATATGGTTAGGGAGTATATAGGCGTAGGCATTCCCTAGGACTAGTTAGTGCGAGTAGGCGATACGGTCCGGATATTAGATAGGTACCAGGTACGTTCCGTATACCGGACGTACCCAGGGATGGTTCCGCAGTACCTTCTGCTACCCTGGGGGACATAGACCCTCTCAGCTCTAGTAACTATAGCCCGCGTACGGTTGCCGCTGGCCGCTGGTCCAGCTGCAAACGTACGCGGGCTATAGTTACTAGAGGTAATACTACACAGGCTGGCCCGTCCACAGGCACTTGGAGCGTTTCAATAAAATATATAATGCTAAATAAATACGAAATCTATTTACTACCAAAGTCTTAATGTTTCTCTACTCTCTTTCACCTATTATTGCCAACAATTTCCTGTAAATTTCGTCCAAATGCTCATCTGCAACACTGTCACTCGCTGGCCGCCGCATGCTAGCTGCTGCACACTGACACATAAATATATAGTGTATCTGTATGTATATATATTTATTATGGCATATATATATGTGTCATACATGCCATGTGTCTATATATATGTGTGTATGTGGGTACCACTGCGGTGGCTCAATGGTTGAGTGCTCGCCTTGTATGTGGAAGGTCGGGGGTTCAACTCCCGGCCGGGTTATACCAAAGACTTGAAAAATGGTACACACGGCTTCTCTGCTTCGCATTCAGCAAATAGAGATAGAGTGTGGCAAGTTAACTCGCAGTGCTACCAGTGGACTAACCCCCTACTGTAGCATTTACTGTGAAAGCAGCTGCGGGGACTCAGGGTTACTGAAACGGAGATAGGCACCGCCCTATGCGCCATGTAACCATGTGCTATGCGTATGAAGGCGTGGGAAGGATTTAATAGGTGAAATAGAGTAGAGAAACATTAAGACTTTGGTAGTAAACACATTTCGTGTTTATTTACCTTTTTTAATTTTTTTTATTGATACGTTCCAAGTGCCTGTGGGCCCGTCAGACTCACAGGGCCCATGGTAGGCCTATTTTTGTAGAAAGTATTTTCTAGAACTACCCCCAAGAAATAACAAGATCTAGCAAATGTACCTCATTTCCCTTGGGCCTTGTTGCCCGTCATTCGTGCTGCTACAGGACTCAAACTAATCCTGAACCAGGCACGTGCTAATTTTTTGCAGTGTCACGAGTGTGTACACTCTATCCCCGGACGTAACGTATCCGGGTTTAAATACGCGCTAGTCTGTACTAAGTTAGCCCACGCTAAACTGTGTGTGTGCCATATGCAACCATGGACAGGCTAAAGTTCGATATACGCATGCGCAGCCTTGTTTGGGTCACATAAAAGTACAGTAGCTGTCTGCTGAGTGATGTAACAAGCTAAACAGACAACCCGAGCTAACTTAGCCCGGTTCAGCATTTTGTGTCTGTACGCTGTGATTTAGCGCGTGCCTGGCCAGGACCAGGCACAGACTAGTTTGATGTAGGATCAAATTTTGCAGTTTGTAAGGGTTATTAGTCTCAACTAGCAACAATCACTCAATGAGCATAATTTTAATACTAATATAGCGAATGTTGGTCGTGTGATCATAAATTTGGTTTTCCACGGTAACTGCCTAATTTAGCCATGATTGAATTTGAATTTCGAGAGGCGGTTTAAGCCAACAGCAACACATTTATTTTTCCGGTTGGGGTCTTTTTATTGTACCGCAGACTACAGCATGGGGTGTGATGCTACAAACATTCCCCAAGGAGATCCTTCATACTTTGCTGTGTATAGCCCTGTTGCAGAGCAAAAGGCTACACTTGTGGAGCTAGCCATTTTCTTGTTTCTACCCTCTCTTACTACAAGTATATACTTGTGGGTAAACGTCTATTGCATATAACATACCTTTGTGTTGACTGCAACCGTTATTCTCACTAATGAATGCTATATACAAAAAGCCAACACCTTTAAGAAATATTATAGCTCCAATTTTTAGCTCACCTTGACATCGTCAAGCTGAGCTATTGCCATGGGTCGTCGTCCGTCTGTCCGTCCGTCCGTCCTTAAAATCTCTCGTCGCTTCTTAAAACGAGAGTCACCGTTCCTTTGCCGCTACATAAGACTTGTTTGCCAGTCTGCTAGCTTGTTTCCAGCTGTTCAATCATCTTTCTCTGAGACAAATATTGTTTTTTCCGTATTGCGATGCACGTACCGCGCCTCTTTGTTCAGTTCTCCCATCTCGTGAAAATTCGCAATCGTTTTCATCGTTCAAAGACATAAGCCCCATTGCTTCATGTTGCTGAATGCACATTAAACTGGCACCTTGTTGTAATTCTAAGTACTAAACCTTTACATCCAACGCATGATTAGTTTGTCCAATTCACTGCTGTACTAAGAATTCGTCCAATTTGAATATCCGCATACCAAAAATCGTTCTGTTTACAGTTTCAACAGACCGCTGCCGGGAAGCGGGCTGTGAGTAAAGATTTTATTAGTGCACCGGACATTTTCGCACTGGCATGCTAGGTCACGACGCAATGCTATCATCAGTGATTTCAGTAAAACTGGGACGCTCGTCGATATAGGCGAACTTTTTGTCCAGGCTGTTCACGTGCGTCCGTTGATTCGTACGTGTGTTTTTACTTCCATTTCCATGTTAGTTCCGCTGGCCGATCGGTGGTCGGGGGGGGTGGCTTAGTTTATCACCGCTGATACCCTCTCTCTCTCTCTCTCTATGCTATCTCTCTATCTAGTCTATCTATCTATCTATCTATCTCTCTATTCTACCATTTATTTTCCGTAATTCTCTCTATGTGCACTCTAAATCTACATTCTGAACGCTATGCCCGCGCATACATTATTTCTTATGTCTTTAATCCTATCTGTCGTGTTCGTAATCTCTCTGCTTCTTTGTCCCTCTCATCTGCGTATTGACATTTTTCATCCGTGAGCACTGGCTGTTAACTACTGCTATACTGCATTCTCGCATACATATCAACAAACACGATCTTCAAGTTTCCCTGTATTTGCTATCTGTAACCCAGAGTGCACTCTCATTTCGGCGACAAACTAATAACGCGTTTTGCGCTATATGAGGTCTTATGTAACTC